GCCAATCAGATCCTAGTCGAGTGAGTGACAAGAGGAAGTACTGACCACTATGCTAACAGGGATCTTCATGTTACAGTACAACTACGTTGAAATATATCAGAATTACAATTAAGTTACATTTTTGGAGTTGGCTCCATCACAGACTGTCATAGCTATTATGCAGTACAATGTGAATAAAATAAATAAAAATAAGCCGAAAGCATTCTGTGAGTGATACTTGCCTTCTGTCTTCAACCTCAGCATGATATAACTCACAATACGCAAGGTTTCAGTTTGGTTTATGTGGGATTTGAAACTGCTAATGAACCAATAGTAGGTCTCTATGGGGAGTGAAGCCTTGTTTGTCACCGATCATGTGATTCTCTGAGAATGATACAAGCCTTGAAGCGAAACTTCATCTGAAGCTGGCCTTCACACTCGATATGCACTTCAAAGCCTCGGCTTCAAGTCTCATTACCAGTTTTGAGACCCTCGCGATTTTGTTGTTTTCCTGCCCGTTCAGTTCAATAAACCTGTTTTGTGTTCCCCTGACTCCTGCTCCTATGTTCTTAGTCCCACACCTCACAACAGAATGTGAGGACCCCATAAGCCGCTTAGCTGCTACTTCAGAAAGCCTCCTCCTCTCCACATCTCGGCATGTTCACTCTCCAATCTCTGCTCAATTCTCCGGTCCACAAGCCTTGGTGGTTAACCTGTAGCGACCTGGAGGAGCCCAAAGAGGAAGAGATGGATCCTGGAGAGGTTTTCGGCATACGGATCACCCCTCCAGCGTGGAAGCCATGTTGTGCTCCCTATGGTAGTGAAGAAGACATGTCCTCATTGCTTCCCCTGGAGCCCCAAAGCTCTGAAATGGTCATGCCAGCTGTCGATCTGCCTAATGGCTATCCATGGCTGGCCCTAGGTCTGCTTGCTGTCGCCAATCACAAGAAGCACAAGCAGAGGAAGCGGAGAAGTTGAGCTCCTGTCACACCTGGCTCAGGAGAGGCCATTGCCACACCCAACACCATGCCTACCCTCAAGGCTTTCGGCGCAGGGAAGGCCGCATTGCCTGCGCTCCAGACTTCTGGTCCACAAGGCTGCTGTCTTTTTCTCCAGTTGTCCCGGTTTAGCTCTGATTGCCCCAGTTGTCTTGGTTTTGCCCCGTTCTGCCCCCAGTTGTCTCGGCTCAGCCCCGTTCTGCCTCCAGGTGTCCCAACTCAGCCCTGTTGTACCTCAAAGTGTCCCAACTCAGCCCTGTTGTACCTCTAGGTGTCCCGGCTCAGCCCCTAAAACCTTGCTGTCCCCGGATGTCCTGTCACACCCTGCCTTGGTTTCTCCTGACATCTAGCCGTCATGGTCCTAGCTCATCATTTGCCATACATGCTAGCCCAGAGTGGATTAACCCTAACGATGCCCAAGTAGAGGACTTGTAGGGGGACCCTCTGGGCCTCGCTCTAGGTCCCACTCCATGGGTCCCTACCTTGGCCCCACGATTCCTTTCCCGTTACTCATGCCCTGGTTCCTGCCCCCCGGCCCTCTCCCACCTATAGTTCGTCTTGGTTAATGCCCTCTATGGCCCTCTCTTGTTTGTCTGTCCATGTTTCTGTGGGTCCTCCACTGGTCTGTCCTGGTGTGTGTCCTGCTTGTTGTCACTCCTGCTGTCCCTAGTCTTGCCCAGGTTTGTTTGGTTCCCATTGTTATGCCTAGTGCCCGATCTCATGTCCTGTGCTGTTCTCTTTTTAGTATTCCGTCCTGTCTTTTTCTGTCCACTGTGTGTCCTGTCATCCCCTGTCTAGCTTGGAGTGCCGTCTGTCTTCAGCCCTGTTGTTCAGTTCCTGTGGTCCCCTCCTCTGTTAGTCCTTCGCTCTGGGTGTGGACTGTCACACCCTGCCTTCCTGCCCCACCCCTTTTCTCCTTAGTGTGGCTCTAATGTGCCTCTTGTTTGTTCCCTCCTTAGTCCTTGTTATAAGTGCTTCCCAGTCCTTTGCTCCCCAGTCCTGACATTGACATTGTGGTTTGTGTTAGCTCTGTTGTTCGCCCTAGTTTTGAGATCCCTTGCGATGTTGTTGTTTCCCTGCCTGTTTTGCCCTGACTCCTGCTCCCGTGTTCTTACTCCCGCACCTCATAACACCTTGATGTTTTTGATCAAATTCTTTATTATCTGGGCATTTGCTAGTGGTCTTGATCCTGCATGGAGTAAAAATTCATCCAACCACTTTAAATGACAACTTATTCAATTTTCAGTTGCAGCTTGTCCCTTAAAAACAAATTTGAGACACTAACCCAACCTTATGTCTATGTTTCGTAGGAAACCAGAAGATACTCACATGGATTTTGAATATATATGCCCTCAGGTGGTAACACTAGCCATATTCACTTTTCGATGACCATATTTTCCAGAAATTTCTGAATGCAAAAATTAAACTATAATGGTACAAAAGATTAATTCCTCTGTTCATCAGCAGCAAAGTTACAGAAGACCTGGCACAGGCATGAGAACTTGCTCGTCATATGGCAGTACATTACCTATTTTGTTTCTCCGACAGTAATTCAGAAGTCTGAGGCCTGACTGAGCACTTCAAAATACTGCATGTATTTGTAGTTTCTTGGCTTCTAGAGTTACCTTGAGTGGGGGACAATGGATCAGCTCGCTCAGTGAATAGGGCCACTGTTCTTGTTATTTGACTTGGATGTGCTGCAGATGGAGTGACACATAAAACAGGAACTCTGGTGAGTAAAGGCACCCCCTTATGTAGCATAGAAGGAAGGGAGGAAATCTGTATGGAGCGGGTTTGGTAAGTCCTTTGTCCAAAAAGATCACCCATCATTGAATTAATTATTCCTTGTCCTAGGAGAAGCAAAGTGAGCTTCCATCCTGTATTACTATTGTTGTTATTGTTATTGGGTCCCCCTCCCCCCCCTTACGAGTCACTTTTGGTTTAGATGTCATATACTCAAGTAATTCAACATAATATATTGCAGGACTAGGGGCGGCACATGGGTGCAGTGCTTAGCACTGTTGCCCAACACCTCTGGACCCCGGGTTCAAGTCTCTGCCAGAGTTCCATATGTGTAGAGTTTGCATGTTCTCCCAATTAAAGAAAATGGATGGGTTATCCCTGCTGGGTGTAGATGTGGAAATCTGCAGCAAACAAACCCAGGGTTTTGCTGCTCTGCTGCTGCTGACTAGCCAGCTCCCCCCTCATGGCCTCCTCTGACAAATACCGGTTAGTGTTGCTTCAATGCCGTTGCCTTGACGGTGTAGTTCCACTACTCGACCGGGGTCAGGCTGAGGAGGGCTTGGTGCGCTTCCCCTTCGAGTGCCAGGGTCAGGTGGACCGCAGTGTCCACATCGCTCCACCCATTGTACCATGTTGCCTGACGGACTTGGGTGGAATGCTGCTGCAGCAGCTTGCTCACTGTAACAAGGGAGGTTCAGGGTGGTCATCTCCCCATTCTCTGCTGCTTCCGCTCTACGTGACATGACTTGCTACAGGGTCGTGATTAGATGTTTCGTGACAGGCGGAGCGAATTAGACCCTTAGGGTCTCCCGGGGAAGGCACAATGCTCAGTTCCCAGGGTTCCCTGTAGATGTGCTGCTGCTTCCTCCAAGGGCAATCTTTAAAACTGGACTTGTTGGAGCCTTTGAGTCAAGTCATTAATATAGCTGAAAAACCTAATCCCCCACTCCTGACACAAGCGCAATCTGTTGTGGATATGCTTTAATGAAAATACTGACCTTCTTTCAAAAAGCATTTTATTATAACATTTTATTATAGGACACTTTCAGATATAAAAATGCAGTGGCGGCAAACGCAGGAAGGTCAACAATTAACATAACACTCACACTCGGGATGGACAGTATAATTAAAACGTGCAATCCTCGGTAAAACATTAAACAGTTACAGTACATTATTTACATTTAAATGTAACATATACGTTAATACACGGACACACACAGCACATTGCATTTACTTAATCCACGAACCTGTGCGCGGCGTAATAATTAGGCCTAGTTGTTATTATTATAGTAGATATTACTAGTAGATGCGGCGGTGCCACGATATGAAATACAGTACCAATTCGACTTAATGCCATTTGTATGTGCAGCGCTTTATAAGCAAAACCAGCACTAGCTTTTTCTGAAAGTGTTTATTCGTGCACCACTAGATGGTGGTACGGTATCATTTCCCTGTCCTTTGTTCGTGCAACTCCCGATTTAGTGGTAATTAAAATGCAACGAGAAATGTCCCCATAATATTAGTGTGGCTATATTTCGGGTTTTTAAAAAGAGTACACTGGGGGCAAGACGTAAAGGGACGCGTTAAAACAACGCAAATTTGCACATAGGAAGTACTCCGACTGTAGAAAGCAAACGACAACATGAAACAAAGCGAAATAACGGACATTTCAGGCAATTTAGAAATTCCGACCGGACGCATTTTAAGGACGTATGGTCGCCCTGCTTAATACTACGAGCTGGTCGGATATTTGATATGGGTATCCAATTTGTACGTAATATGTCAGTAGCAGGGGTAGGCAACCCTGATCCTGGACTGCCGGTGTCCTGCAGGTTTTCCATCCTACCTGTCTCTCATTAACCACACCAGATATCAGACAGGTAGTAACTCATCAGGTAGGACAGAAAACCTGCTGGATATTGGCACTCCAGGATCAGGGTTGCCTACCCTCGGTCTATAGCTAGGGTGTTCAGCCATGCCTATGTAAATTGTCTACATCTCTCCCAATATTGTTATTTGTTATTATCAGTTGTGTTAATTAAGATTTTGATTGCACTTAGATGCCGTAACCCCAACGGATGGAACTTATATCGAATAGGGATGTAAATGAAGCTGCGGGCAATCGCCATACGCTGACATCAAACAATGTTTTGCTTTGTTCGACTATTTGATGGGATAGACAATGTACCTCATGTACATTCTGTAAATGAATGAAAACGTACATAAAACAGTAATTTCGCATTCTTTCGTATCATTTGGATCATCTTTATTTTTAATAACTGTTGCTCGGGGGTGTTGCGCTGGTCCATGCGGCGCTGTTCCCGTCACACGGTTTGCAGTTTAGCTTTAGCCCCTCCTTGTTCCTCCACCTCTCCCCCGAGACCTCCATCCCCTGCATGCTCTCGTGGCGGCGCACCAAATAGGTTGGCTTTTGTGTGTGTGTGTGCGCGTGTGTGTGCGCGCGCAGAAACAAATCCCTGTTATTTGAGGCTCCGCGAGGATTAAAGCGAGCATGCCCAGTCTAATGCAGTGAGCGCCAGCAAACCTACAAAGAGGAAACGGGCTGACAAAGGAGTCGGAGCCGAGGCAGTCGGGGTCGGTACGGGGCTTTTACGGCGGGCTGTGGGGAGGACAACTGGCGGGCCCCTTTTCTTCCGAACCGGTGTTTAAAATTAAGCGCTTAATGCTAAAAGTTTGGAGAAACCCAAGACACTGTTTAACCTACTGTTTAATAAGTAACTAAGGTCAAACTCGACCGGTTGTTTAAACACGGGGCCTTCTTTTACATAGCGGGCTGGCTGGTTTTTAGCTTTTCAGCTTGTAAATTGTAAATCTATTAATCTGGTAAACCGTGCCCTTCCTTTAACTGAGTGTTCTGCAAGACGGCTGATCTTTTCTGCTATAAAATTAAATGCTTCTTACGACCATGGATCTGTTGAACTACCAGTACATGGACAAAATGAACAACAACATTGGCTTACTTTGCTATGAAGGTAATTTCTCTCTTCTATTAAACATGTTTCCTCGAAATATAATACATTTTGTAGAGATTGTTGTAATTTTATTAGCAGTTTCTTCTGACGTATATCGGTTGACCCCTCTGAGTGGGTCTCATCTATTTAGTCTTGTAGCTATAAGTACCAACATATTTAATTTGGCATGTTATATTGTTAACTCTGTTGTGTTATGTTTAATACTGTAAATATTCATGAATTAGCAACATATTTTAATACAGCGTCAAAAAAGATTTACTTTGGCTTCTGCAGCTAATCGTGTCTAAGATTTGCCGAGGGCATAATGTAGTAATAGTTATGCTGTTTTAGTTGTGATGAGTTGTCATTGGCTTTTCTTTTTCTTTTTTTAATAAAGAGGATGTAGTGTCCTAAGGGATCCTGTTGCGTGGTCATTCGCTGTCAAAAATCTGGTGTGAGTTTATTAGCGTACGTTGAATTGGGGGGGGGGGGCACATTGTACAGCCGCCAGATTGGTCCCTGAGGATGGGCCGCCATGCATGTGACGTACAGTATAAGGCGATCGATGCATCTTGGTTGTCCTGCCTATTAACTTCACGCTTAATCTAGCCCCTTACCGGTGTTACTCATGACAAACTAGAGCTTGACCAGGACCTTTGTGGATTATTTGGGTTGTTATACCCCGTGGTAATTACTGCTATAAAATTTATGACACTCCCTTGACTCCAGAATGCAGTTATTTTGTTGTTCTTTTTATTTGCAGAATAACTGTCTTCATTTAAAAGTCGCATATGTAAAAGTAAATGTTTAAAATCCTCACACTTTTCAGCAGTTATTTCTGGTTAACAATATTAAAAACACACCTGAAATGTTCAACAAGTAATGATGAAGGTTTGCAGTTTTATTAGTATTATTGATTTATGTTTAATTGCCGCTCTGATGAAACGGATACCCTAGATATGTTCTTAAATGAGTACAATCTGGAGTTAACATTTGGCAGAATAATAGCAAGGTATACACGTCTGTTACCCTTTTGTTTTGATTTGTATCCTTTTAATGCTAGTTCTCTCCATGGGAATTAAAATGGCAGGCGAATGCGTGACGGGGTAACCCGTGGCTGTACTCCTTACACTCCGTATGAACCAGCTAAGACTTCTTGTGTCTGCGAATGTTAATTTGGATGTAGCGTGTGCTCAGAGTAAGGGCAGCTACTAATAACTGGGTATATGATCAGGTAACTTTATTTCATGTGCTGCTGTTTGACAATCACCTGCAGCAAGCAGTGATGCATTGAAGAAATCCTACACTAGCATGTGATGGCCCAAGGAAAACAGACCTTCTGTTGTGTCCTCTGTTCCATGGCACAGTGATTTCTGTTGTTTTGCTGACCGTGGTTAATAATTATTAAGCTTAGGGAAAATTAAGTGAACTGAAACTTAATTTTTCATCTAGACAACATAGGCAAGCTGAAGACAAAGTCAGAGTTTGAAGCAAACTTTGTTTTGTGTGTGCACATATTCAAATAATGAAAGTTAACATTTGTGATTTATTGAAATCGAGTGAGGATTATTCCCTGATGGTTTTCTCAGTTTTCTTTTTGTCTGACAAGTTGATTGTAAAACAAGTGTAATACAATGGCAGTAGAACTAGGGTGATATATAGGGTCCTGTAGGGTGTATTATAAACTGAGTTTTACATACTCTGAGAACCTCAACAGAGCTGGGTTAACTAATCCTGATTGCCGAAATCAGCTGCGATGGTGGTTGTCAGTTCACTAGGTTGACACTGTGTTTTTTTAGGCTGTGTCCAAATTCTAAGGCTGCATTTGAAGACGAATATGTCACAGCAGCACGACAAGGCTGTCCCATTACGAAGGCTCCTTCAAATGCGGTATGCCTTCATAATGCCTTCATAGACCTCATCCTTCGAAGGATGCAGCCCCTGAATTTGGACGCAGCTGTAGTCAGAGTCTGTGTGCATTTGCATAAAAGTGGCAGCGTCAACATTACAAACTAAGGATAAATACTAAGGCTCATCCTTCAACTAAATTGCAGGTATGGGCAATACCACTGGTTTTCTTTTTGATCTGACATCAAGTAATACCTCCTGCACCCCACTCCCTTTTGGTATTACTTGGTATTGCATCGGGGGAAAAAACGATGGTATCACTCATCCCTATTATTTAGTCAAACGGCAGCTTTTATATACAGCTGCATTTTTTTTGGTGAGAGGGTGGAACTTGCACCTGTTTTAATCAGAAAACCTGAACTTAAACATGCTTGGAGCCGGTTAGGTGTGCAGTGTAATTCGCTGTGGCAGTATGACCTATTGAAAAGTGACCTTAAAGATTCATAGTACCCAAAACTCTGAAGTAAGCCTCAAGAAACCTTAATCCAGTAAATTAAGCCAGTAATCGCACTTTGTAGTACACCCCTCTTATCACAAAAGAGGATATGGATTTCCCAGCCTGTCTTTTTGATGAAGAGCTTGACTAGTGATTCAGTGAAGCTTGAGTGTTTAAGTTCTTGTATTGGCCCCATTCATCGTTATGGGACTGTGTGTCTACATACTATATATGATATTAACAGTCTCAGGCAGAGTGCAAAGCCACTTTGCTGATGTTTTTGGTCAAAACTGGAAATATATATTTGGATTTATATTATATAATATAAATATAAATTAGTAGAGTTAATTTATAGACTCTTCTGTAGATCCAATTGCAATTGTTTCCAAAATCTCGCTGAAACATGAGCATTTTACAGCTATAATGCATATAGCATTATGTGAATGTGTTTGTAACTGAATCAGAATTGTTATCCCTAAGGAAATTGCCTTATAAAGGTTTTCTGATTATGATTCAAATACAAATTTTGACAGCAGTTTTAACTGAATTGTAAATCTATGTGGAGAATAAAGGAGAGATATGGTTGCTGTACTCAGAGAGAGGTTCAGCTATATTCATATCTGAGCATCTCCACCAAACACCCAGGCTCCACTTGGTTGCCAGCACATCTTCCTGAGTAGCTGCAGTTTTGTGGGCTTCCTGTTCTGTCATTGTAAATTTGAGATGCAGCTTGTGTTTCCGTGCCTTTTGTAGATCTGACAATTGGCAAGCATTTGATAAATCAGTCTGTCTGGTGTCTCACGTGTCTGACTTGACAGGCATTTCCTGTGGTCTTAGCATGGTGTCCTGCTGTGTTGCCTCCTGCCCAACTGTTACCACTCTTTACCCAAATTAGTACAACAACCAGTCAGCTTAACTGATTACATCAGTGTCAAATCTTTTTGCAGTAAGTAGTTGTCATTATCTAGGAGTCTATCTACCAACAGTTTGTCAGATAAGTTGGTGGTGTTGCCGTGAGGTGTGCCAACAGACGCCAACAGACGCCAACAGACGCCAACAGACGCCAACAGAGCAGTGCAGACAAATCACATGCAATCACTCAGTATTGACTCCATGCAATCCAAAATATGTCCATATTCAGAAGATGAATTCCATATTCATATTCATATTCCATTTCCATATTCAGAAGATGAGACTTTTCATGACCAGTTCTTGCTCACTTTTCTCCTCTTCACTCATTTTTTGTTTAATTTCTTGTAAGATTTACCTAAGCTGTTGCTAGGTTGTTTCCCCTGACCAAGTAAAAATGTTTTAATGCAATTGATGGTTTGAACCCAGCAGACTATCGCGGTCCTCGCAATGTGACAGCTGCATGTACATATTTACACTGCACAGTTTCGCATCCCACTGCTTTGTGTTTGTGGCATTTGCATGTTGCATCCTTTGTGTGCGTAGCTTTTCAGCTGATTCACCAAATTTCCTTCTGCTGTCCAAAAACATGCAACTTAAGTGCATTACAGTGGCTAAATTGACTATTTGTGTCTGAGTGTGCACCCTGCAATGATTGGTTGATATTTATTATATTATATTATGTTATGTTATATTGTATTGTACTATATTATAAGTGATTGAGTATTTGGGCTGGCAGCTTTGTAATGCACTGGCCCCTAAAGATGGTGTTGGAGTTTTGCATTTGTCTTTAAATATATAGAACGTACTGTCTTTTATGTTCATTTTTTATTTCATGTAAATGTCGCTATTCTGCAGACCTCACTAAAATGATTAGAGTAAACTAATATTACAACCTAAAATGTTAAGTCACTAGCTACATTATGGAATGCCATGGTACTTTTCTTTCTGGCTGTTGTGGTACGAGCCAAACACGGTGTTTTTCACCTTTTAGAACAGAAGCAGTAGACTTGTTGTGGATGCCACTTAACAGGGGTGATAATTGGCTTGCAGGTGAAGATCTGAGGGGTGAACTCAGGATGCAATCCATGTCTGCCTTCATCAGCAGCCACCGTACCGGACCCCCTCCCATCAGTCCTGGCAAGAGGAAGTACAGTGGAGACCAGCTAAACGACAACGCTGAGAGCGAGCATGTTTCCAAGATGAGCCGCCTGTTTGCAGCTCAGATGTAAGTGTGTCCTATAAAGGAAAAAACACCTCATTGTGACGACTTCCTGAGGGAGAGTAGCCCAAATGTGTGTAGCTTGGTTGTTTGAAGTCTTTCATACCATTCATCTGTGCCTCATTTACTAGAATTAGTACATTCTTGTCCAGAGTAGGCTTCAGTTCCCAGTACTGTTTGATCTGTTATCTCTTAATGGGTACATTCTCCTAATCCACCTTTTGTCATATTTTTGAGACACGGAAGTGGGCGACTTGCCATTTCAAGCCAGGTGGATGCTGATTGGACAGATGCGGTCATGCATTTTTCAGTGGATTCCCTGCTGTTGGGTGTAGGTGGTCTGATTTGAGGGCTTTTTTGCCCTTGTTAAGTGTCTTGCTTTAAGTGAAGCCTTTTTTAAATTTTTACAGTGAAAATTCCCATTTCCCCTTTAATACAGCAGGATATGGTTACCAGGCAAGTGGTAAAGGAAGTCTTAACGTCTTCAGCAGAAAAGGTTAAGAATCCCTTAGTAAGAGCTGGTATTTCCCTCAAAGGGCTGAGGGTGCTTGGCTAACGCCTGCAATGTAACTGCTGCCGAAATATGAACATAGGATGGTGACTGTTGAAACTGAGAAGGCTCTGATGGTACTTTGAAGATAAATGAAATTCCTTCTAATGAAGGAAGGAAATGAATGGGCATCAGCCAACAGCACTTTATCCCTCTGGAGGCTGACATAGCAGCGAGAATGATGATTGGACACTTTTTGAGCCAATATGAACTGCATGTTGTGCTGAGCCTCGGAGGAGCAGCTGACTCTGTGCATTCCACTTAACATGGGACCTCTGTGGTCGTAAGGCCCTGTTAGGTTGCCGGTCGAGGCACCCAGTCCAGTGGATCAGGAATCTGCTGTCAGGACCCTTTTGCTTAAGACACTTGTCTTATTAGTCAATGAGGTGCTGTAATCAGGTTCAAATCGTCATTGTTGAAATTACAGTTTAGGTCCAGCAGAATTGACTGAAGGGTTCTGATAGCTTGAATAGTTTGGGAACATTGTTTGTATGTTCTTCGGACTGTCTTACCTGCACAAAACTGTTCTTTAAAGTAAAATAAACTCATGAAGCCCAGAGTAGCAGCACAGCAGACACGTTTGTATCACTGGTCAGTAACTCCTTCACCTGAGTTATTTATTTTTGGGAAACATGCCATTAAGACGTCATTATAATTTAAAAGTTGTTGACAACCAGACTGGACAAACATCGTATATTTCTGACATACTAATCATGTTCTCTGCATTCGGCAGTGTAGCCATGTCCCTGGAGAATTAACTGCACAGAATAAGTAGATTATCATTTGGCTTGTATGTATTGCATTCATGCAAAAATCATGAAATTGTGTAGGGCTGCACACTATTGGAATAATTTCAAATACCGTGGTGTGATTTTATTTTATCGCGATAAAGATTGTGAAATATTGATGAATGTCAGCACTGCACCAGGCACATTACTTTCGGTACTTCAAGAAAGTACCAAAAATATAGTACTTCAAGTTGTTGGTTTCTCACTGGCGTAAATACCGGTCCTGGCACTGAAAGACATTTGTACTGAATTAGAATAAAATGGCTGTATATTACATGGCTGGCCGATGTGCAATATTGTATGCCTGTTGTGCATGTGCAATTCTTACTTCACCCATTAGCTAAAGTTCAGGCTTTTTAAATTCTGTATTCATACATTATAGCACAGGGAGCTTAAGTTTCGTTAAACATTTTTACTCTATCATTGGGGAAAAAAAAGTTTTGCAATTTTAATTCTTATTCATTTTCAAAATTATCTAGTATATGTTTATAGAACAGTTTAAACCTCACCTCTGCTGCTTTTGCATGAGCTCTGCATGTGTTCTCTGAGACAATCATAATCATTTTCATCCTTGCTGTTTAAATCACTCCTAGATGGGTTTTTGAGAAATTTATCTCCTTTTTTGTTTTATAAATACCCGAATATTTATCACGACAAAGTCACATTGCAATACTTAGAAATTTTCAAATACCGTGCTGTCCTAGTATATTATACAAAATGCTTCATACATCATACTGGTTCTACCGACCAGATCGCAGTTGAAGCTTGGGTCACTTAATTTGTCCACAGAGCCATCATTATTTATTTAATTCATTTTATTTAACCTAGTTTATCATTGTTTTCTGAGTTCGCAACTGTCTTCGACACGGTGGTTGCAATGCCTCTCAGTGGCAGGATATTTGCTTAGCTGTTCGACAAAGAAAGCATTTCAAGTCCCACCCTAAAGTGCCGAAACACCAAAAAAAGTATCCCACTGGTGCGTTTGGTACTGGAACTTTTGGTATGGCTGTTTTCTTTATCGTAATCGAATGGCTAATTGAGCGTTTCCTATCTGTTGTCAGAAGTTCATATGCCTTTCCTGGATCAATCATGTTTGGCACAGTCATGTCTTGTTTCCTTTTGTAGTTTGAGTGCATTAAACACTCAAATTTTAAGAAAAAAAAAATAAATCATTACAGAGAATCGTGATCTCAATCCTAAGCAAAAGAATCGTGATTCACATTTTTTTCAGAATCGTGCAGCCCTACTGAGTACAGATAATG